AGCATAAAATCCAACATGAAGGCCTATTTTTCCCAGTGAGGGTTTCCCAGTAACAGTTTCAGGTATTAGCAGACATATTCTTATGTGAAATATCAAAAGTGTAAGATTACATTTCTTTATCCAAGCACTATCAGTGATGAAAATCCACACTGTCTTAAGTTTCAAAATCATACTCTCTATTTGATATTGAAAATTAGGATCTGTTTTCAATGAATTCTAACTGTTCTTGCTGTCAAAACATCTGTTACTGCTTCCATCTTACCATTATATTCTTCTGCAAATGCTTGAGTTTGATCATAGTGTTAATTCACTAAAAACAGATGATCAAAAGCAGATTTAATGCATGATTTTGTGATTTGCAGATGTGGAATTTTTATTATGCCCTAATTAAGGTGCAGATCCAAGGATAAAAGAAGCTGGAGGAAATGAGAGTTAGTATTGAGTTCACTGCTCAGAGTTCTTTTGTCATCTCTCATTATAAAAGCAAAAATATTACTTGCTTAATTATTGTAAACACCAGCCATTGTCTTTAGCATTTTATTTTATTATTTTGCTTTAGGTTTCAAAAACATCATTTATATAATTAGAAGTTTTATTGCAGTTTGTGATAATCCTTCAAGAATTTTTCTACAAACTGCAACTCCAGCTCATTGCTTTCAACTGTGGCTTCTACTGTTTTCATTTTCTGAAGCTTTAGGAATGCATCCCGTAAGCGTCAGTGCTTCTATCATTAACTGCATCATTTACATTTTTAAGTTAATTTCCATTATGCAGTGACAACTTAATGGTAACTTAGATAGACTGAATAGAGATTAAAATTAGCAATAATACAGAAAATTCTTGCATTCTGTTTTATAATCTGTCAAGTCTTCCTTTAGCAGTGATTTCTTCAAAAATGGTCATTCTAACATATGCGATTTTTTCCTAATGGCAGTTTTCATATGATTCCTATTGCCAGTAGTAATTTAATCTCTACATAATTCTTATTCGATAGCTGTATGCAGTTTTTCTCCTGCTGTCTTATTTAATCTCCAAAATATTACCTGTCTCAGTTAAGCTGGCATTCATGATTTTTTTTTTTTTTTTTTTTTTTCATTTATGAGGTATAACAGCTAAAGATTTCCTACAGTATTAGTCAGGTCTTCAATCATTTTAAAGTGGTTCTTCCAAGTTCCTCGTAATTTGTATTCCAAATTCATTGAAGATGTTATTTGTAAATTTTCCAAGGGGGGGAAAAATGAATTTTTATACTTTTCCGTAAACAAGAAATTTGTTTCAGAAACACTCAAAAATTTTTCAGCAAATCCTGTAAAAATGCATCTCTCATTAATGAACATGAATTAAACTGCAGATGGTAATAGGCTGTATTAGGTAGGATTTTCCCTTGGAAATATTAACTAGCTATGGAAGTCTGACTTGAAAACATGCTGCTTCATCTATATAATATATGGGGATATTTCCCAAAGTTAGTCACAATATTCTAAGAATATTTTGCATTTTTCAGTAGATGATATTGTTTTTAAACTTTTCACTCGAGCTGTACTGAAGACAGAGTGCACATGAAGTTTGGTAGGTAATATCAAGTGCAGGTTTTCCCAGTTATATTTTTATATAATTGACAGTAAAAATTGTAATATAATGTAATAAATTCCTATACTGGCACCATTTGAGCAATATTGACTGAGTGTCTGTAGTCATTAACACGTTGAGCGCGGCGCCGGTCCCTAAGGACTGGCAGTAAACTTTCCTTGTGGCCGGCGTCGGTTTGGCTGGCATCGGTCCACGGGACCGACAGTATTAAAGTTAAAAAATAAATATAGTCTCAATGAAATGTGATCAAATTTAGTTTTAATGAAATGTATTGAAACATTCTAAACAAAAATATGGCTTAGCTCGATGCCGTCTGAACGGAAAGGACAGCAAATTCGGCGCCGCACTCACCCTGTTAATATTACTTTTAACTGTTCTTAAATTTTATGTAACATATCCAGAAAATAATACTTATCTCATTATAAAAAAGAAGTTTGCTGCATAAAACTTTTCATCTTGAAAATATATGCTCTGGGTCGGTATTCCATATTAGCATGCATCGTATTGGGAGAGAGGTTTTGTATATACTCTTGTCATATATTTCTATTACTAGTTTAATGAGAAATGTGGTTACTGTTTGATGGAACTGTTTGTTGTCAGTAAAACATTTAACATCCGAAATTTATTTTATGGACATGTGATAATTCCTTAGGGTAAAGTTATGTCTGGAGACCAGATGCTCCCAAACCTTCGTTCAGAACATTTGGTGCTTCAAAGCTTTTGGAAGGTCCAAAAGCTCTGAAGTAACTGTTGCAGATGGGCTGACATGCAGTTGGGTACTTTATTATGGTATACCATTAGACAAGATGTTGCTTGCAATTTTAGTGGCTCTTTTCGGTTTCTTTAGGGTTTTACTTCCACATTAAGTTGAGTTTACGTTAAGTGCTGTGGTTATTGTCTTCTGAACATAAAAGGTCCACCTGGTTTCCTTCAGCTTTGTGGAAGAATGCAGATGTTGCCATACCATGGGCTGTTTCAGAATATAGGACAGCAAGTCATTACTTGTTTGTATTGTTTCTAGAATGTCAGTGCAACTGCCATTCAGATTGCTTTATGTGTATGTGTTTTTCAAGAAGTCCAGTGGCACCTGCCTGGACCTTTAGTAATGGAGATGACTTAACAATGTCATATGTAATGGACTACAGGTGTCATTCTAACTGCATTGTGTGAGCAGGACATTCTTCACTATGGACATTGGCCCCTTTTCCTTCGACAAACTTCTGCATCTTCATTTCACTATTAATTTTCCTATCAAAACAAAAATTTTACTATCTAATGCTGAATTTTACATGGTCAGTTCAAGAAGAGAATAACTGCTCTCATTTATTTTTTGCAAGATAACCGATTTTCTAGTTAATTTTGGTTGCTGCACAAATATGTATACAAGCACTATTACACAATCACAAGCACAACATTTATCACCAAGTGACCTTGGCATCCACGTCCTGATCCTTCTGTGGATACAGTCCTTCTACCAATGATGTCTGCCTGTATATTAAATAAATCAGTGCCATTGGCCCTTGTATGGAATAATAGTCCAAGCTATATACTTTCAGAATAAAATAGTTCTGTTTAGTCGACCTCTTTTCATTGTCTTTATTTTCCAAACAAATGGGACCCTTTGGTTGTGCTTTGTAGGTTAAAAAATTGCAATGATGTACTGAAAAAAATTATTGCATGAATGCTTGCTTATTAAACCTTTAATAATATCAACTCATTCCAAACTTCCATTTGGAACCCATCTGTGTAATCAACATTTATTTTGTACGAATCATAATTTGATTTGTATTATGCTTGCACTCTCTTTTTTGCTAATAATGAAGATATTTAATGGTAAAGTAATTACATGAAATGGGAAATGGAGACGTTATATATGTTTAATGTATTATTTCAAATAAGTTTTTTTAATATGAGGTAAGTTCCCCCCCTCCCCCAAAATATTATAGCTTACTGTAATATTTATGAACCTTTTAAATTCTGATTCTTCTACCTATTCACACTATCAAATTATGAGATGGAAAAAATTTCTTATGATAAAAATTTGAGTGATGTTAATAAAAGAGCTAGCAGTTATGTTTTATATTACTTGCATTTCTGCTTTTGAATCCCAGAACAGTTAACAAATGTTCAATAGATTTGAAGAAACTGCATTTTAACAAATTTGTTTATTTGATTTTGAATTATTAATTCTTTAAGTTGAAATAAAATTTAGAAATGTAAATATAACAAGGACATTGAAGCAACCATTTCAGTAGAATTAATGCAGATATTGAAGAAAAATTAGACACATCCTTAAATTAATAGTGTAGTGTCTGCACATGATAGTCACTGCTTTTTGTATATAGTTGTAGCTCCAAATATATAATTACAATGTCAATTTTTGTTCAGAGATTAACAAGATTATTGCCCAGTAACCAAGTATTGCAAAGATTATTGCCCATATTGATAAAAAACCAGTGAACATTGATAATTTTACCCTAGGTTCAAATCCTGTCAAACTGGCAGCATTTATCTATGTATTGCATAAATTCAAACCAAATTCGTTCAGAAAATTCTTCACAAAGACCTCTGTCTCTTGTGCGGATAGCATTTGTGTACTTTGCTTTAATCAATTAATTTTGTTATTTAAATATTTTACAAAACTTTTGACTATTCTAAGAACATTACTTGTGTAACCATATGAATGATTCTGTTAAACTTAAAATATTTCATTTTGAACCATTGCTCATATATACCATTTTCTTGCACTCAAATTTATCTTACAAGCTATAAGGTGTTTCTCCCACCTTCTTAGCATGCCTTTGGGATGTGGTAGTCTGCATACTGGGCGTGTATTCCAGAGGTTCGTGGTTCGATTTCCAGCAAGGATGTTGCTCATTTTTCATCTCTCTAGCTTCCAAAAAATAACCTAATGTCTCTACAAAGTAACTGAAAATACATTTTTATGCCTTTGGGAAAAAAAAAAAAATTCCCCCCTAAGTTGCTTGTTTTAAGTTTCCATAGCAATGTAAGGAAACTTACATTCCTTAACAATGTAAGGAAAATACTAAGATGAAAACTTGTTTAGCAGAGAGCAGCTGTGGTACTTGTTGGTGAAATAAACAGGATAATTGTTTTTGAAAAACATTTTATGCTTTATATCTTATATTCTTTATAATTTAATATATATCCGTCCTATTTCTAGAGCATTATTCAAAACTTATTTAAGCCAGATCATTTCTTTCCATTTAATAGTATGAAAAGAAAATAGGCTGCATAAATTTGTTCTGGAGTATATTCCATATGATCAATTCAATACTTTACAAATAAATACAGCTGAATGACTTTTAATAGCTGTTGTTTTACTTTTTAAAGAGCTCTGCGATGTATTTTTGCATTTTTTAAATCTAATATTTTAATTCCAATTTCAGTTATTGGATGAAGGCGATCGAGATGAAGATGGATGTTTCAGTCTTGCTGAATTTAAAGATATGATTGAGAATTCAGAAGATTTTATGTGGTTAGTTCTTAGTTTTGTATTACGAGATTCTTTCCCTGTAAAAACATATTTTTTACTTTTCTAATACTGCTATTATTATGTAAATTGAAGACCACAAAACTAGTGGAAAGAAATGACAATTTACTTAGAACTTGTATCTTTAAGACAGTTTTCACTGACTGACATAGTATTTAGAATTTTTATATTTTGCCAAGATTACATTTATTTTATTTGTATTCTAATTGCTATTAATCCTGGATTTAAATAAAAACTAGAAAATGCTCAGAGTTATAATAAAAGTTGTATAATAGGCCATGAGTATTTAAACTTATTTCAGTTTAGATATAAGTGAAACTTCTGGAAATGAGACATGTTCCAAAAAGAGCAGTGTGGCAAACATTGTTGATCAAAATCTTAGTGATGTTCTTTACTGGTCCATAATGTAGTCCCTGGATTTTTATGATTTAATTATTATGCATTTGAAATCACTTGTACAAATATGAATAGAACATATGAATCTTCATGGATAGTGAAATCATTGTATCCATTTTAGATGAAATTAGAAAAGAAGCTGACAATTAAGAATTAAAGCAATTGTGATGTGGGGATAATGCTCGTATTTCTGTGATTTCGAAAAAATTTTCTTGACCTTGAAAGAAATGCTCTTACCTAGATAGAGGTATGAGAAGAGTGTGGAATATGCATCTAATGGTTGACTGCAAAGTATTGCTGAGAAGAAAAAAAAATAAATATTGCTTGTTTAAAATTGTATGTCAAAGAAACAAATAAAATATTTGCACAGCTTTTTATAAACGTTTGACTATTCTAAGACCATTACTTGTATAACCACATGAATGATGCTGTTAAACATAAAATACTTTCATCATGAACCATTGCTCATGTATACCACTTTTTTGCACACAAATTTATCTTATAAGTAACAGAAAATACATTTTTATGTCTTTGAAAAACCCTTTTTTCTAAATTGCTGGAATATGCATCTAATGGCTGACTGTGAAATATTGCTAAGGAGAAAACAAGTTTGTATGAATATATATGTATGAGTTTTGTATGAAATATATAAAATTATTTGATGAAATGTTAGTTGTTTAAAAATGTATGTCAGAGAAACAAATAAAATATTTGCAGTTTTTTTTTTTTAAATGATCTTTGGGAAAATGTAATTTAATGTTTAAACAATATACTGCACACTTGTTTTTGTAATTAAGTTTAAAAGACTATTTCAATTAAATGTCTTTTGAATTAGTTATTTATTTGAAATAGTCCTTTAAAGCAATGATGAAATCAGTTGTTAAAAAAGTATAATCTGAACCACTCCTAACCCCGTTCAGTTTGTATAATCAAAGCTGAACTATACATCTGATATTTTCTGTCATCACGAATGTTGCATCTATAAAGCATTTGAATGTTAATAGTTCCTTTTCCTTTCTATATATCTATTTGACTATAAAATGTATCATATTGATGATGACATCTTTTTCCTCTTTGTAGCACATTCAGGATGCCAATGCCTTAAATCTGATGGTCATGAAAATAAATTCTGCAAGATAGCTTTCACAGCTGCTGAAAAGAATGTGATGCATTACTGTACTTGTTAGCTCATTGATTCTAGGTTATAAAATAAATTTTATACAAGTTTTTCCTGTTTAGTTTTGGGTTTTTTTTTCTTTTGTGTGTAATATTTATTTTAATAAAAATATTTTTTTCAACAAATGCTTAAAAAAGGAGCACTTTCTAGTACTTAATTTTTAAATAATACCATTTTGCTATTTTACTTTTTTCTTCCAGGGCTAATTTCCTTCTGTTTGTATTTTTCAGGCTTTTAACTGGTGTTTTCATTGTCCATTATGTACTCGCATTTGAAACTGTAAATTTTAACTATCTTATCACTACTTGAAGTTTATAAAGATTTCACATTTTATTATACTGCACTGCAGAATTACAGCATGATGGCTGGGCACCACAGTAATTTCTTCTCAGAGGTTAAATTTTTTAGGTTTGGTCAAAAAAGAAAATATATTTAAATTATTTAGGAAAATGATAAGAGCAATGACAAGAGAGTGAGAGATCTATACTAAGGGACTTCTTTGGCTCTCTGTCCTTGTTTAGTACTTATGCATATTTTATATAACTTTTTTTAAACTAATGTTATTTGTTCCCATCTTCAGGGCCTTTAATCCAAAAACAACGTGTTTCAAAATTTCAGGCTATTTATGTCATAGAATTCACTTCTAAAAGAAAGGTAATATAGAAAATGGATTGTCTCTTGAAGATACTTAATATTAATTTAACTTTTTTATCTCATAATGTGGGATATGGGATCAGAATTAAACTTGTGTAAGGATAACATGAATAATAAATAAAGTCATATTCAAGAAAGACAAAATTACACATGTACTTAAGAAATCTTTTTTAATCAAAATTTTATGTCCGTATGTAACAGTAAACCAAATATAAAATATAAAAATACATCCAGGAAGTAAATACGTATGATTTGTCAGTGTGGATTGTAAATCAAAACATATTATATATATTTTGTGTACATACATCTCCGAGTCCTGTCCCAATAACATAAATGTACCCTCGTGATTTATATAAATACTGATATGTAGAATTCAGATTTAATATTAACTTTTTCCAATAAGCTGAACTTTACATTATTTGAATTTTTTAAACATTCTCTTTAGTTTCAGATCATCAAAATTAAGTTGTATTTTCCTGTACAATTAAGCTTTTGATTGCAGATAATTTTGCTGTTTACCCAGAGTTTTCTTTTCTACAGGTAAACTAACCCAACACCTGCAAGTAGCCACTCATTCACATTTCCATATTTCTGTATGATTTCACTCTTTATGTATATACTACCAGATGGGCCATTTACGTATGGTTTTGCATAACATCTGAAAGTATCAAGAATGAGCTCTGTAAAGCAGAGTACTTTTTTAAAAATTTTAAGTTTAAATTAGGGATTCTGAGCCTTTTTCTTCATAGAGCCTTTCATATTTTTCTCTATAATATATAGCATACAACATAACAACAATAGAAATAATTGCATATACATAATGTAATGATTAGAGCTAGACTAATATGAATGAAATTTTTAAAAAAGGTTTATTAGGTTTGTGTTTTATTATTATTCGTATTCTTATTATTTTTAATTTCACAGATATAAACAAGATGTAAAATAAACTTGCAAAAGATGCACAAATATAAACAGATGCAAAATTATAGATTCGAATTGCCTCTAAGGCCGATTTTAATTAATGTAATGGTTGTACTTGATATATTGAAATAATGTTTTTTAATATTTGGCATAAAATTGCTTAACTTAATTCTTAAATCAGCTCATTCAGAAGTATTCAACTTGCTTCTTTTTTTCCTTAGTAAGTTATTGACTAAAGTTTCTTTCCATTGGGTAAGGAAAGGGAAAAGTCAATGATGTTGGTTTGGTAACAAATTTAATTTTGAGATATTTCTCTCAGATGACTTTTGAATTCCCAAACTCAGTGAACTCGTGTGTTTTGAATATGACTTGATTTATTTGTATGATAAAGTTTTGTATCAATAAACAACTAATTATCAATTTTATTAATACATTTTTTTGGTAGGCAATGGGATCTCGATTGTGCTAATCAATTGTTGGCCCCTATTTGGATATCGACCCCTTGATCATCGTAGAGCCCCTTTAAAATTTCATAAACCTCACTGAGAAAACCACTGGTTTAAATTCTAATTAATAAATATTATTTTAAAACAATTTCAATATTATAATTTGTTTGCTGATTTTAAATTCCTAAAGGTTTTGCACAATCTCTTCATAAACCATTTGTATAACAACCTGTCAGTAATTATTTTTGTAAGATCAGACTGGATTGAACTATCATAAAGCACTTAAGGTTCCTATGAGAATAGAAGCATTTGTGGATGACTTTGTAAGTAGAACATTAAAAAAAATTAAAATGAAACAGCCCATTTATTTGCCAGAAATATAATTAATCCTGAACTAACAGTGTTTCAAAACTTGAGCCATTCCATCGTATAATTTTACATTATGAAATATCTCTAATGATGAAAGTAAAACTTAAGGTTATTGCCCATGCTATTATACTTATCTTAGTATAAAATATGAAGAATGTATAATGAATTCAACGATTTATTGGTTGGAAGTCATATCCATCAAAGAATGAAACCAGGCTATATCCATGAATGTTCTGAAGCAGTATCAATAATGCATGCCACACTTAAATAAAAATTGAATTCACTTCAGGCAATCCCTAGAATTAGAATTTGTGCCTTCTGGATTGATTTGCATTCCTGAATTATGTCTGATTCTTTATCATATAAATACTGAATTACTTCTGACATTAAATTCACAAGCCTGCAGTTTTTCTTTCATTGAATATTCTTTGAATCTTCAATCTTACCTTCAGTTCTAGTATGGGCCAACACCTTTTGCAGTTACAGGATTTCTTCATTTAACAAAAGATGTTGCCAGTGGTGTAGCGAGGGGGTGCATGATGCACTGGTTGGCGTATTTCCAAACCCTACCCCACTTTTCGACTAGTTGTTCAAAACAGGGATGGCTGTGAGCGGCTCCTTACAGAAGGCATGTTATGCGCATGCTCACGGACATCGTGAAATGTATTTATTTTCAAATGATCATTGGGCTACTGCATTTGGCTATTATGCGCCACTTGGCGTTGTTTCTATCAATTATCGGAAAATTCGAATGTGAGAGTGGTTCCTTTTTCACTTTATATATAAATAATATTTTTCACACATATGATAACTGTTTTAAATGCTGAAAATGAAAGATCTGCTATTTAGACAGAGTTCATTGCGAACAATGAAAACTGAACAGTTAAATATTAAAATTCTTTCCGTGAAAACATTCACGTTCAGCTTCCGAGCCATCACTAGGCAGAAGAGAGACATTTTTCGAATATTATGATAGTGCGTCTGAGAACAAAATAAGAGAAATTCCTGTCATAAAAATAAATACTTTGGGTGCTAGTTTCCCTAAGAAAGGTCCTCCATGGAAGCATCCCTTCCCTTAGGCAGATAGTCCATATGAAGTTAACCTAACCTGAAAGTAATAATTTTATTATGGATTGATTTGAAGACATCTTTAACAAAAAAAAAAAAAAAAAAAAAACCTACAAATTTCAGAATTTTTTCTCTAATAACCATAATCATATTTATTTAGTTTTGGAATAATTATTTGAGTATTTTCCATTCATATATAACTTTAATGCTCATGTAGATTACAAAAAAATATTTTCCTAAATTTTAAAATGTTCTATGGGAATCAAAGCTATTACATTTAAAGAGGTTTGCTAGTTTAATTGAGAATGATGAAATGTGTGCTAGCTACCTAACAGAAGGAATATCTTCACTGAGAACTAAGGGATTAGGATTATTTGGATTATGTAAAAGTATTTTACAGATATCTGCCTTAAGGAGGAATGCCTCACGACCAACAATAGAAACTTCCACAGAAGCTCTAGGGTTATATCAGAATCTCCTTCTAAACAAACCTTCCAACTTCATGATTGAAATTCATCGTTGCATAATATAGTAAAATTAACTTTCTTACATCAGATTTCAACCGCTTTATATACCTATTATGCAGTCATTTTATTTCTATCGTTATATTATTTATGCCCCATTTTAGAGAATTTTAAAAATGCAAATTAAAAAAAAAATAATAATGAAATAGTGGCAATACATGTTTACTGACTTTCGTAAATGTTTCTCTTATGTAGTGTGATTAATTGAGTATGACGTACTTCTTCATTTATGCTTTCATCACCTATAAATTTAGATTTTAGAAGTATTAAATGTTTAAACATTATTTGTAATAAGATGTTCTTAAACGAGTTTTGTAGTTCTTAAACAAGTTTTGTGATTTCATAAAGTAAGAAAATTGCACAAATCAAAAATAAATTTTTATTTTACTAAAAAATCATATAGTATATCTATAGTAATCATCTAAAAATTTCATATAGTATTTTAACACTTGAAAAATAAGGAAATGTAAGAACTCAATAACAAGTTTTAATAGAATGGTATAAAGAAAAGTACATAATAAATTACAAAAAGGGAAAAAAAAGAAAATTATCTTGCAGTTTCAGATACAAAAATTCTATCATAAATTGTTTTTACTCGATTTTCAGCTACACCGCATACAAGTAGCAAGCAATAAATTTCTTCAGTTTCATACAATAGTAGCAAGCAATAAATTTCTTCAGTTTCATTTTCAAATAAACTGACTTAAATCAAACATCTGAATGTTAGACACATAATTTGAAAAGTTTTTTTTTTTTTTTTTTTTTTTTTAGCATATAACCATAACTTGATTTTTAATGCTGAGAACAAGCATAAAAGATCTAAATTATATATCCTAACTTGTTATACGATTACACTTAGATAAAGCAAACTTTGTAATACTAAAGACATAGTTTTTAAGGTTTGAAATAATTTTCAAAGCAAAAACTTCAAACATCCAACTTCTAACACAAATGCGAAACACTTTATATTAGCTCTACATACAATAGTAATAAATAATTACCTAGGTTTGAAATATTTTTTCATGAATATAAATAAACAGGTATTTAATGTTCTGATGTCATTTTCAGGAACAACATGC